TTTGTTCTTACTATTCATGGAAGTTGCCTCCACCCGTTTTTCTGTTCTTCCAACTTTAAGCAGTTTCTGGAGACCTCTCCTCTTCCAGCTCTGTGGGTCTTCTAGGCTGGGCTTCTCCTCCATTGAAAGTTTGGGCTGGTAATCTAGCTTCTTATAAGGGCCACCAGAAATGTAACCAGTCCCCTCCCAGCCAATGCCAAGTATCACTTCCAATTAAATAAAAGGAACATCTTCACACTTTATAAAGGAATAACAAGGAGTTGGCACATATTAATATTCCTTATTTCTGTTTTCTAACCTTTATTTTGAGTGATTATTTAAACTGAGCTGGGATAGGGGGTCAAAATCAGCTGATCATGAAATAGTCTGACCTCCAACTACATTTGCTACTAAAAAAAGTACTGCTATTGATATTTTAATGTATCTCCCAATCAAGTGGGGAAGTACCATCTTTTAAGACTAAAAAAGAGGGGCAGCTAGGTGGTGCAGTGGATAGAGCACCGGCCCTGGATTCAGGAGGACCTGAGTTCAAGTCTGACCTCAGACACATAACACTTACTAGCTGTGTGACCCTGGGCAAGTCACTTAACCCCATTGCCTAGCCAAAAAAAAAAAAAAAAGACTAAAAAAGGAATGCATTCCTTCAATAGCCACCAGGAAGATTAGGTTCTTACCTTGGATCACAAAATATGGTGTAAAACTTCCCTAAGATAACACCAGATGAAGATGGGGACAGTTATGGAGGAAAATGGCCTCTATGCCCATGATGTCAAATACAAATAGAAACCAGGACCACTGAACTATACATAAGGATCCCTGCAGGCCACATATTGACTTAGGAAATACATATATTAATATTATCTATGTTTTATTGTATTTTTAGTTATTTTGTTAAATATTTCCCAATGACATTTTAATCTGGTTGGGCTATACTCGAGATTGCTGTGGGGTCCCCTTTGGGCAGCATGCTTAACACCTCTGCTCTATAGAACTCTATAGCCTTCAATTCCCTTACACAATACTTCATTGAAGGGTCCTCTTCCCCATATATTAATTTTCTAGAGGCGTTTTTTCTTCATAGTAACCCAGAAGAAAGATCTATCTTATTTATCTCATCCCTCGCCACTATATCAGTTAATTCATGATGGAACTGGACAAGATAATTTTTAAGATCCTTTCTAATTCTAAATGTATGATTCCTTTCTAGAAAACCTCAAGAGAAAACAGATCATACCGGAAAGGGAAAAGATCATTAAACTAGAACTAGAGGATTCTCCTTTTTTTTTTTTGGTTAGGCAATTGGGGTTAAGTGACTTGCCCAGGGTCACACAGCTAGTAAGTATCAAGTGTTTGGTTTAAGGCCAGATTTGAACTCAGGTCCTCCTGACTTCAGGGCTGGTGCTCTATCCATTGTACCACCTAACTGCCCCTGAGGATTCTCCTTCTTAAAATTACTTTGTATAACTTCATATGTATTTATCTGTATATATATTGTATCCTGCCAATAGAATATAATAATACTATTTATAAACAATATTTATATAATACTCATTTGAGTACTCTCATTTGAGCCTTACAACAATCTTGTGATGTAGGTGCTATTATCATACTCTGTTTTACAGGTGATGAAACTGAGGCTCAGAGAGTCTAAGTGACTTGTCCATGGTTGCACAGCAATAAGTATCAGAGGTAGGATTCAAACCCAGGCTATCCTTAACCAACCTTACTCTCTCTACTTTGCCAGTGTTTTTCTGAAAGGGCAGGGTGATCTTTCTATTCCCAGTGCCTAACAAAGCACCTACCTAGCACACAGTAGGTGCTTAATAGATGTTGAATAGAATCCAATGAAGAAATCAGAGGCCCAGAGAAGTTATCAAGGTCACACAAATCATGACTAGCAGAGGCAGAGTGTTCACCAAGGTCCTCTAACTCCCATTAGTATTCAAGTAGCAAAGCCCAAGGGGTAACAGTTAAATCCTCACCTAACAATTCTACATAGAGACACAGAAGTATGCCCTTCCTTATAAGGCAAACTCTGTTTACTTCCCAGGCTAACTACCTGACAATTTGACCTCCCTTTTAATAATAGAGGAGGTGTTGTTAAGTCTCTACTGTACCCAAATGAAGGCTTAGGTGCTGATAACTGATAGGGAAAATCCCTGAGAGAGGAGTGGGAGTAGAAGAGGAAAGGGGGCAAAATTAGACACAGACTCCTAGATCTGAATCTCACCTCTATCCTCAGACTTGACTTGAGATAAATCTGTACCTACCTCTATGTGTCATTCAAACAAAAGTTTTTCCTGTCTGCACTCCCCCCATCAACCAGTAATTTTACCTACCTTCTAAGGACCGTGAAAAAATGTGACTGACAATACTCTGAGGTGGTGAGACTCAAAACACCCAAATTATTATACTCAGGTAAGTTTCTCTCATTCACCCTACGCTATCAGATAGAGGGAAGAATCTGGAATAAGGGGGCATCAGAATTTTACTGTTCTCTCCCCACCCCACCCACCTTCTTCTCTCTCTCCCCTTGCAATAAGAAGACCTGGAAAGTGGCCCTGGACAGGTACTGGGCACCACAGGCTGTCCCCTCCTGCATAATAGATAAGCCCGGTGGCAAGAACAGAACATGATCAGGAAAGAGAGTCTGTCTGTCGGGAAGCTGTCTGACACATCCCAGTGCTACTGCCAAAACTGATGTCTCCATTGGCAGGAACAGCAGAAAGGGAGGGAGCTGCTGCTGCTACCCCAAAGCAAATGGAGTGATGAGGTAACCAGCAATGCCCTGGAGATCTGAACCCCTTCAAGGTTGTTGGGGGGAGACAGAAGGAGCCTAACTGCTACTATTTTTAAATAGAAAGTTCTGTCATCAAAGGAGACATTGTAGCATTGGAAACACTCAGATGTCTTGTTTCCTAAGGCTGAGACCTCAGAGAGAGCTGGAGAGGTCAAAGGCATCTGAATGGCTTGAGTGGAGACAGTGAGAAAATGTACCTACAGTAGAGAGCAAGGAAAATCACTTATTTCCAGAGACACAGAGACTGAGAATGTCCCAAACTAGAACTAGCAATTTTGGCACCATAGTCAAGCCTCAAAAAACAGGCCATTATATCAACTGCATGGGGTCAAGAGCCTAGGACATTCTGACAATGATGCTGAGGCTACTGCTGAGGTCTGATTGGAGGAGAAGGGCTGAACTGATGGGGTATGGGCCCAAGTTGAGACCTTTGCCCCCTACCTCAAAAAGAATTTGGGTCCCATTTGTCTAAGGGATTCTCCTTGAATTCTCCCACTTGATCAAGGAGGTCTCTGGTATTACCCTAAGGCTATAGTCCCATCAACTGGCCTTTTGTTATTGCTTACTGCCCAACCTCCCAATTCTGTTACCCTTAACCTAGCCTAGCCCTCCATCACCTTAACTCCCTATGGCCCCTGGCTACTTCCCACCCTTGACCCTATCTAGACCCCATTCTCAGCTTCCCAGTCAGTCCCAGCAAGATCCTTCCTAGATTCCTCCCGCAGTCTTCTGTATATAAGGTCCATCTTGTCTCCATTAAGGTGCTCAAATTCTTAAGAGTCTAACCAAAAGCTCAGATTCTTATAATCTAGCCAATAGCTCAGGAATGTCCAGATTCCTCAAGAGTCTGGCCAATATGGCGGATGTTCTAATATACCTTGTTTTGGGCTGAAAGAAGGCTTGGGTCGAATTCATTCGGGCAGGACTTATGTGTCGTGATTTTGGGGTTCCAGCACCCCTGAATCCCTGAACCTTAACAGAACCAGACTAGGGAGTTCACCTAGAGGAAAAAGCCAGTTGATAGCTTCTAATTTTGAGTTATTATTTTTGCTAAACAGGTGCCATGCAGCTTGGGTAGTTGGTAGAACACTGGATTTGAAGTCTGGAAGACTCCAGTTCAAGTCTTGCTATCAAAGTTTTACTATCAGTCAGTCACTAAAGCTCTTTGAGCCTCAGTTTCCTCGTCTGTTAAATGAGGATATTAATAGTATATGACCCACAAGGTAGTTATTGAGAACCAAATGAGACAATGTATGTTAAGTGCTTTGCAAATCTTAATGTGCTACATAAATGTTAGTTATCATTATTATTACTAATAAGCTAGCTATTTCTGATATAGAAAGAGTATGCTACCAGTAACCTCTAAACTTCAGTGCCCGCAGGCGAAGCTTCCTTCACTCTGCCTCATCAGTGCTCTAGGTTATCCATCTGAAGGAGTCAAGAGAAAGAGTCCTAGTTGTGGCTGTGAATTTGAAGCTGAAAATAGTGGATATTTGAGGTTGGAAGGAAAGTGGAAAGTAGATGGCAGCACTATCCTTAGGAGGGAGACGAAGGCTCTGTGTATAAAACTGAAACTCCTGAGGATAACAGACCATAGGGTTTATACCTGAACGGACAGTAGTGATCACTTATCTAGAGGCCCAGAAGGGGGAAGTGACTTGCAAAGAACAGTAGCAAAAAAGTAATAAATAACAGAGCTAGGAGCTAAACCTAGGTCTCCAGGGCTCTTTTCATGCGACTATGCTGCCTCCTACTCCCCACCCCCCAGAGAACCTGAGAAGGACCAGTGGTTCATCCCCAGCTGAGGCTTCAGTTTTCCCATCTATACTTTGGGCAACTAAACTAGATAACCTCTAAATTCCTCTCTAATGGTTACATTCTGCCATGTCCTCCCCTCCCGACACAAAAGTGCATGCTCAAAGAGAAGAAAGGCTGCGTGACCGGAACACAGAAGGTTCCGGACCAAACCGCCTTCTGGTCTCTGATGCGCTTGCCACGGGCTGAGGAGCAGAAGGGGCGGAGGAGAGAGAAGGAAAAAATAAATAGGAACCACGAAAAGTGGGCCGCACGGGTAAAAAGAGACGAAGCAGAGAAATTCTGGGCTTCGTCGGCCGCCGTACCACCCGGAGCGTCAGTCGCTATGGCAACTTCGGAAAGCGGCGGGAGGAGACGACTTTGTCTTGAGGTTCGCGCGCTTGGGACTCCTGCCGCTCCGGTGGGGCTAGGGCTGGGGCGCCTCGCGGCCTGATAAATATTCACTTGCTTTTTCTGCATAGGTAATGAGGCAGGAGCGGAGTGGGGGAGCGGGCGGGAGCCAGGGCTGGGGGGCTGGGGGGGCCGGGAAAGGGACGCCTCTGGCGGGGGCGGCGACCGTTGGGGAGTAGAGCCCGAGGCTGGGCGGGTGGGTGTGTTGGGGGCAGGCGGCCGGGAGGTGGCAGCGGGGGCCGTCCGACCGGGCGGAGCCCTTGTGCGCGAGGGACGTCCTGGGGACTTGGGGAGAGTCGGTTCGTTGCCTCCTTGGGCCTCAGTTTCCTCGTCCGAGGTCCGGGGGAGGGACGGAGGGCGGGGCGGCCGGGCCCGGGGCTGAGGCTTATCCCTCAGTCGGCTAGAGTAGCTGTGCCGGGGGTGAGGGTGGTCAGTAGAGGAGAGCTAGATTTCCAGCTGTCAGTCTTTGTAAGTTTTCTACCTGGATTTCTCACTTTTGTCCCATTTTTCTTCCTTTGCGATCTTTGGTAAATCAAAACACACACACACTTTCTCCCCTTTCTTTCTCTCTCTCTCTCCTTTAGTCTCTATTTCTTCATCTGTAGGAAGAAGGGATCTCTTAGGTTTCCTGGTTTCCCCCTTCAGCTACAACGCCTATCATCCCTTTATGAGGGTGTTAGGAACTCAGCCTGGTAACTGATATTTTTGGAAGCAAGAGGGTCTAGGTTTGAATTCCAGAATGGCCATTCTCTACTTAGGTGACCTAGGACAAGTCATTTAACTTCTCAAGGACTTAGTTTCCTCTTCTTGTAAAATGCAAAATGAGTAGATTGGATTTAAAGATCCTTTCCACCATTTTATATACATATTTAAAGACCCATCCAACATGATAGCCTATTGTTTTAAGACTCTTCCCACCCACTTTCCCCCCACTTGCAGGGTCTGGACACCACAGAACAGCCTGCCCCATGGATGTGAGTCACGGACCCCATTGACCTTACCCACTTTATTCTCCCTAGTTTTAAGCCCTTTCTTCTGCAATCTTGCTGTGCTTCTCCCCCCTCCCAATCCCAACCACATTCTTTCCCTTTTCTGTCCCTGAAGCACCCACCCTCTCCCTATCCTTTTGTCACCCCTTCCTCCTTTATAACTATAGCTCACAGAGGCTTCCTCTAGTTTACGGAATCGAGCCCAGGGTCCTGTGGTGAGTGTCTCCTTGCCCATTCCTGCTGTCGTCTTCATCAGTGTGGTTGTCTACTTGCTGCTGCTTGGCCTGGTGCTGCTGGCCAGACATTATTTGGTGGTGAGGAGGCACCCAGAGACGGGAGGGGAAGAAGTGGGAGTGGGCAGTACCAGTACAGGGAAAAAGAAAAGAAGGGCATAGGTATTCTAGCCCCAACTCCCCCAGCTCTGGCTTTTCTCCAATGCCCCATTCTTTTTTCAACTGTGGTTCACATTCCTCCAGAACCCAGGTATTCCCTTGAAATCTTGCTTCCCTCTCATAATTTTGGCTTCTTGTTTCTCAACTCTTGCCCGTTTCAAGAAGCCAGGAAGCTCTCCCCAAGTCCCATCTCTTCTTTCCTACGTGAGTTTCCCCATATGGACAAGAGGGAAAGGGTGACGAGAAAAGCTAGGAGTCTGAACTCTCTCTGACTCTCAGGAGCAGGATTGCTGCACAGACTGCAGAGGGTCCTGCAGGAAGGCAGACACCCCTGGTCCCCTTGAGTGTTGCCAGGGCTGCGCTGAAGCCTGTGACTTCCCTCTGCCCAGTCCAGCCCGATGCTTGGATGCCTGCTGCCCCCAGCCCATGGAAGCAGTGAGTGATTCCCTTTGACTTGTACATCCTTTGATTATCTTATTCCTCCTCTCCACTTATCAAGTCCTTCTCACCTTGACTTTCAGCCCAACACACCTACCCTTGCTAAACCCTGCTTCTGTCACAAAAATATGCTTTTAATATCTTTACTAATACACCTCTAAGGAAGGGACAGGCAGGCAGTCACAAATTACATTCTACACCAAATCTCTAATACCACAATGATCAGAAAGATAAAGCTAAGGGGCAGCTAGGTGGACTAGCTCAATAGATAGAACTCAGGCCTTGGAGTCAGGAGGACCTGAGTTCAAATCCAGCCTCAGACACATGACACTTACTAGCTGTGTGACCCTGGGCAAGTCACTTAACCCCAGTTGCCTCACTAAAAAGCAAAAAAAAAAAAGAAAAAAGAAAAGAAAGATAAAACTAGAATGAAGTGCTTTCATACTGTGTAACATTTAGAACTAGAATAACTTGTTTACGAAGAAAATTTTTACTTAAAAGAGCAAACTGCTATCATAAGGGGTTACCTGCAATCATGTTTCCCATGCATATGTCAAAATCATGTAAGCTTCTTTGAAAGATGTAACAACAGAGATAATTTTGTTGGACCCTCCGATCATTAATATAAAGTGATAGAGACTAACGTAATCCAGTTGTTCATATTTGCAGATGACATAGTGCCAACTGCATGAAGACTGAACATTGCAAAGCCTCCTAAGTGACATATATTATCACTCAGAAGAGGTCAGCCTAACTATCCTCACAGAAAAAAAAATAAGAATAACTATTTTCCAGACTATAATGTTCAGTTGCATGGATGACTGAGAGAGCTGTTCCATTAATACCTATGTTTCTTGGACAGATTTCAGATGGACAGTGAGATGGGTTTGGAATTGAACAGCAGGAGGAGGGCAGCCTTTGGGGAACTGGGCATTTGTTTTAATGACATCAGTTTTCTCCCTGAAACAAAGGTCCAGTTTTTAAAATGCCAGTATTCTTCCTGTGGTGGTGTATGATTTTATCCCAAGTAATTAATCTCCAAAGAATTAAAGTTGTGTCATCAAAAGGGTAATGGATAGGTGCCTCGTGGGCATGGGTAGGCTGTAACATACTACTAATTAAGAAAAGTGGCATAAAGGATGTCATGAGAAAGACCTATGACCTGAAAGGAAGGTGGGCTGGTCTTGTTAAAGGAGAGCCTGCTTGCTCTGTTGGTATCTATGTAATGTCAAGAGATATAGAGAAAGGCCTCAGCCTGATGGATGGAGGCTAAACTGGAAGATTCATAAAAAGGATTTAGGTGGCAGCCTGCATCATTAGGGGATACATCTACACTGACAAGACCACAGATCTGTTGAAGAAGAATCAAAGTATCCCTAAGGAAAGATAGGTCCCCAAGAGGAACATAAAGGGATTCACATTTCTATTTGTTGTTTTAAAGTTGTTTCATGGGTAGATAGTGGGGTTTTTTTTCCATCCCAGAAGGTTTCTACAGTATTTATTTAGGATTTATATGCACTATCTTCTGCCAAAACTATTTTAGGCAACTTACAAAGTTGATTTATATAGTATAGCACCTGTCTTCTACTCAAGGCTCGTTCTAGTTCTAAATTTTATACAGTATAAAAACAAGGAAAAAGAGAAAGATGGTATAACATGATGGTAGTTTCATATAAATATTAACCAGCCAGATTAAATCTCTAGTTTACCTCTTCAGAGATAAAGGAAAGTTTTACTCAAACTCACCACTTCTTAAGTTTTCAACCCACTTCATTCTAGCTTTATCTTTCTGGGATATTTCTGATCATTGTGGTACTAGCTTGAGATATGTGTGTGTGTCTGTGTGTCTGTGTATATATATGCGTGTGTGTGTGTGTGTGTGTGTGTGTGTGTGTGTGTGTGTACACCCAATACTGGGAAATACTGGGAAAAGGAAGAGATTATATGTGTATACACATACACAACACACACACACACACACACACACACACACACACAC